AACTTTGAAAACTGGCTTCAGATTCCTAATTTTAATAGTCTCTTTTCGAGAGCAAGTTTTCGAGAACTAGGCCCATTCTAACTGTCCAAGACAGGTATGTAATTAAGGGAAGGAATGTTATTCCCCAATAATACCAGAGTAATTATATGTAAAAACCAAATTTTTAGCTGCATTTTAACATGTCACGAAAATAAAAAAATTAGAACATTAGCGTTTTTATAAAAAACCGACCAGGGCGACCTCTAAAAAACTTTTATTTTTTTTTTTCAAAATAAAAAAAAATACGTGTCTCTTCTTTTATCACAAATAACAATATTTAGATGTAGCGTTTATGAATTTCCAAAAAGAGTGTTTTTTGAACCACTCTAATGTATATAGTATGCATGTGTTTAACGTATGAACCAAATCGGGCCATAATTAAGCCTTTGGAAAATAATATGTATATACATACATATAAACTAAGTCTTTGGTTCTGCGAAAACTTAGTTCTGCAAAAAAAATGTATCACGCGAAAATTATTATTTAATTGATTGAATAGATATTAAGAAGAACTAATGAATCAAGACCATTCTGTAGTTTTTGGTCCAAGGGGCGTTAATATTTAACAGCTGGATGAAATATGATTATCTAACTTTGATTTAAGCCAGCTGACTCGAACCTTTAAACTGAAAGGTACTGAAAAGCTGGCCCTTAGAGTAGATGCTGCGCTCTTTTGAATGCAATTCGTTTTTTCTCAAATACACTTCAAATAAAAGATAAAAGTTTTGGGTTATGAGGTATTACATATAGGACCACCTCTACAAAACCCATCGAAATTATTTACACAAATTTTAGTACCTTTTCCAAACTTGGACTTATTTTTCCACTCTTTCTACTACTTTTAAAATGCGTGCCACAATTAAGACAGTACCATTTGGTGAGTTCGTACTGACATCACCTTCTCTTATTCCACAATGGAGTTATGTGAAAATTGTAAACAAATGTTCTGCCAAAAAATGTGGTAGATTTTAAGCCTTGTGTGGTAGATGTAGTAGACACTCCAATTTTAAAAAATATGTGGTTGATCTACCACATATGTGGTAGAGGTTTGCACACTGACGATTACGTACTCAGAACGGAAGCTGGGCGAGGAATGATGAGGATAAAGCAAACGCTTTCGCCTGTCATCTTTCACAAGTCTTTAGACCAAATGAAGGCTCTCATCCTTCCAATATTTCAATACCCCCTAGTAGCCTTACCACAAATCCGCTTCGATTTAATTAACACCATTGTTCATGAGATTCAGAAGAATAAAGCGCCTGGCTATGATAAGATTACAGGTGAAATGATAAAGGAGCTTCCACAAACAGCCGTACATTTTTTGTTACATAGTTTTAATAACATGCTTAAGTTGAGGCACTTCCCCGACCTATGGAAACTTTCGGAAATAATTATGGTGCCAAAGCCAGGCAAAGATCCGACGGTAGTAAGTTCATATCGGTCGATTAGCTTCATTTCTGTATTTTCCAAAATATTGGAAAAACTTCTATTGAAAAAAATACAACCTTCACTAACAAGTAACCAAATAATACCACATCAGTTTGGCTTTCGTGAAAAACATGGCACTGTAGAACAAGTTCATAGAATTGTTTCTTGTATTAGAAAAGCCTTCGAAGGGAAGCAATACAGCACCGGTGTATTTTTGGACATCTCTCAAGCTTTTGACAAAGTCTGGCATGATGGCCTTATATACAAACTAGGGATGTCAATTTTCGGGGGTTTGTCGATCCCGGGATTTTCGGGATCTGCAAATACAACCCGGGATCCCGGGATCGTCCCGAAATTCAGGCAAACGTGCAACACATCTGTGATCATCCTATTATAGTATTTTAAATCAAATCGATATAACAAAAAAAAAGTACAATTTATTGTAATTCATTTACATTTTTATTAAGGCGATAAATCAGTATTTTCAATCAACAAAAAACAAACATAAAATTTGACAAACATATATGTATGTATGTATGTACATATCCTCATTAATTTATAACATAGTTTTTGTACTACAAGTACAAATGCATATACGGTCACTCACAGAAATATTTTGCATAGATTTTTTTTGCAATATTCAGAATATTTTTCATGGTATTTTTTTTGTTAATTTAAAAAAATATATATGTATGTGCAATTTTGAAGTTGCTAAAACATCCCGTTGACATTTTATAGTTTTTTTTGCCACAAAAAAATTCGTTATAAGGAAGAAAATGCCCAACATCGTCAGTAAAAAAAATTCAAAAATCAAGGGAGTTTTTAGCAACTTTAAAATTGCACTTTATTGTATTAAATTGAATGGGCTATAAAACTGCATAATAGAATTTTTTGTAAAAATTATGATTAAAAAGTTTGATATTTTTATGATAATTTGGTGAACTTAAACCAACTTTCTCTAAAGTGTGAAATTTTGATTTACATGATTTTTGTTGTTATATGAGCTATATATTTTTTTTAATTAGCAAAAAAAAAATACCACGAAAAATATTTTGAATATTGCAAAAAAAATCGATGCAAAATATTTTTGTAAGTGACTGTATTTGGTACAGCAGTAACTGCCTATGTAACTATATAAAATTTTTTAAATCACTGTTTGATATCAATTTAAAATATTATCAGTATATTTAAGTAATAATAAAAAAGTTAACACATTTAAATAAAAAATAAATATATAAGTGCATCACCTATTCCATTTTGAACGAAGCAAAATTATTCCTTCTTTTGATGGAAATGCGATCTTGGAGAAATTATAGCATTAAGGGTTGGAAAAATTCTTGTTTTGCCCTTGAGAGGAGATATTTGTGATAAAAATTTAATTGGCTAACAAAAATTTATTTTCCAGCAATCCCGGGATCTAAATCGACTAATCCCGGGATATTAAAAAAGGGACTTAAAAAAGACCGGGATTGACATCCCTAATACAAACTAAAGGTTTCACTCCCTGCATATACGCATGCAATTCTAGAAAGCTTTCTGTTGGGGAGAAACTTCAGAGTCAGGCAGAATTCCTTTAGAACGGAAAGTCACCGAATATATGTAGGTTTCCCTCAAGGCAGTGTTCTAGGACCCATATTGTACGTAATATACACTCGTGATTTGCCAATTGATGATAGTCTAACCATTTCAACGTTTGCTGATGACACAGCTATCCTAAGCAATAGTTCAGACCTTAAAGAGGCTTCTTGAAAGCTGCAAGAATATTTGAAAAAGTTAGAGCTATGGCTAGGTTCTTGGAGGATAAAGGTTAACGAAAGCAAGTGTGTTCAGGCAACATTTACTTTGAAGAAAGAGACTTGCCCACCACTAAAAATAAACAGCAAGGCTATACCACAAAAAGATAGTGTCAAATACCTTGGGATGACACTAGATAGAAGACTTACCTGGAAAAAGCATATAGAAAACAAAATTTCTCAAGCGAAACTAAAACAAGCAAGCCTTCAATGGGTTATAGGAAACAAATCTAAATTAAGCCTAGATAACAAGATGTTGCTTTTTAATATGATGATTAAACCATGTTGGGCATATGGAATCGGGCTTTGGGGGCACAGCGTGCAATTCCATTTTGAACAGACTTCAAAGACTGCAGTCAAAAATTTTACGCGCCATATGCGGAGCACCGTTGTACATAAAAAATACGAGTATCCACAAAGATCTTAATGTAAATACGGTGCATGAGGACATAAGAGGACTAAGCACGGTTAATGAACCATCCAAATCGACTAGCGAGAGATCTTCTTAGCCCGAGATATGCAAGAAGACTAAAAAGAAAGAATTTCTCCGATATCTTCAAATGATGCGCAATATAATAAATTTCGATATCCGCAATATATCAATTTCGACTCTGGAACTCGTCTTTCAGACCGACTACCCAACACCAGTGAACTTATATATAGAGAAGCGAAGGCGCGGCGTGGAAACTAGTCCTTTCCAACCGCCCAGGCAGTGCGGCTCTGGAACTCGTCCTTTCAGACCGCCTGCCTAGCACGATATCCAGCGATCCTGCTGCTCGGAATCTTGCCCATTCCGGCAGCCTGAACAGCTGTAATAAATATATATGTACGAAAAAAATAAAAAATTTCTAAGCATTGCCGCAGTCTTGGAAATAAATATTTGCAAAATGTGCATACAGCGATTTTTTTAATATTAACAATATTTTTCATGTTTAATGTTTTTTTTAACTTTTTATTTACAGCTGCGAGTGAAATATGGCAGCAAAATTCAAAATTATGTTGTTTGCTACTTATTTATTTTTAATAGTTCCATCTACTATATAACAACAGAAACCACACAAATAAAAGTTTCAAAGCTTGCACAAAATGCACAAAAATCAATCAAACTTAAAAGCGGGTTTCACTGAATTTATTTCCTTTTCGAAAGAGGAATAACACCCACGGGCATTATCAGATAGAACTTGCTTCGCGTTGCGCGAAAGATTTGCTTTAACAGCTAAAATGAAATGTACGAAATGCATGAAGCTTGTTACATAGATCGCTTTAGCTTCAGGGTCAAGCGCAAAGAAGGGCAAGTACCATATTTTTGCGCGCGACGACTAGCTGGTTTAGTTTTTATTATATTTCGCTCCACTTCAAAGCATTATTCAGAAACATAAAAACTAATACCATTACTGATATTTTTAAATATAATTTCACAAAATTCAAAGCAATTTTCACGGTTCAGTGTTCCCATGGAATTCATTGTGACATCCCTTCTACGTTTTGCGCTCTGCTGGCAAAGTTAGAAATGTCACGCGACGCGGTATTTATTTCTGCGGGCTTTAATGCATGGCACCGAATTTTTGAGGTGTTGCAATAATAGCCACTGATTTAAGTAACCATATCTTGCCCAAAAAAAATCAAGACCTCATTTTTAGGGGCAAATCATGCAAAAAATAACTATGATTTTATGCTTCACGATCCCATAGCATTATTGCATATGTATTATTTCTAATCCTATTAATAATATTTTCTTACCAAATATTTCTCCTTGACTGGCGTACTCGGATACTATGTAAATCATATTTTTCGTTTCCATCACCTGAAATTAGAAGTTTATCAGAGGTATATAGTAAAAAGTAATTGTAGATTGTGGGTACATATACAATGTAGGGTGGTCCTTAAAATCAAATGAGCTATTTTTTCCAGTCTCACCCCTTCAATCGGTAATACAACGGTCACAGATATCACATACAAATTTTGGTCCCGATTGGAGACGGTTAAGGCGTGTCGCACAAGGGCCAAAGTTCAAATTCCCCTATAGAGACTCAAAAAATTAAAACACATTTTTTTGCCAACTCATAAACAAAATCGATACTATCGTAGTCGAAGATATCACATATAAATTTTGGTCTCGATTGGAGTTGGTTAAGGCGTGTCTCAATGGGGCCCAAGGCCAGATGGAGACTCAAAAAATTAAAAATATTTTTTTCATTTAGTTCTCAAAATCGATACTACTAAAGTCGAAGATATCACATAAAAATGTTGGTCCCGATTGGAGTCGGTTAACACGTCTTCATAGGGTAACCGACTCCAATCGGGGCCAAAAATTATATGTGACATCTTCAACTATAGTAGTATTGATTTTGGGTATTAGATGAAAAAAATAATAATTTTATTTTTTGAGTCTCCATAGAGGAATCAGAACTTTGTCCCCTGTGCGACACGTCTTAACCGTCTATCCGTAGCATCGACATAGGGGTTGAGGCTTAGGAAATCCGATATAAAAACTTGCTTCCTACATTTAAGGACCACCCTAATATACGTACATATGTGTATGTATAAGTTTTTAATTCTTTTAAGTTAAACTCCTTAGATACATATGTACATTAGTGTGTCCCAACACATATTGGGAATTTTCGTTAAGAGAAATCAAATACCCTCTATTGTTATTTCAAGCTTTTATTTAACTTGCTCATCCCGCGGAAATTCCAATCAATTCAATTCAATTTTAAACCAACTGTCCGACAAGCTAGCGATTTAAAACTTTCAGCATACTTCCGATACGACGACAAGGCAATTTAAAATATAAATTGATGATTTCCTATGTGGTCCAGGGTATTGATATAAAGGTGGGTCAAACACAGTAAAAGTTATGGCTAACAGAGCATAATTTGCCAAATAACGTAAAAAATGCTCCAAGTTCTTTCTATCTGCTTCATAGATTTGCTAGTACTAATATATATTTTGAAAGCCGTTTTTTTTCTGTCCGCAAAGACCGAGGACGGCTGTACCGTTTTTCTCGAAATTTCGAGCACCTACTGCAGCCTGTATACACAGTCCATCTCAATTAGATCGAAAACTCTACGACAACTCTACGCTCTGTTTCGTAAGCTAAATAGAGTGTCCTCTCCATCATTAATGCCATCACTATCAGCTGTCATCCCTATTACGACTGCCATCGCTATTTCGAGTATTCATCTTTTTGTCTTCATTCATTCATGTTTAGTTTTTCTGAGAAATCAGTAATTTGTTAAAATCTGTCTTTCAGTGACAGATTATCAGAAGTGGTCATGAACCTAAACGACCTCACAGTAATGCAGCTTAAAAGTGTGCTGCAAAAGTTGGAGCAAAAGACGAGCGGAAACAAGGCAGAGCTAATTAGCAGGTTACAGCAACTGGACGAGGAGGTGGTAGGCCAAATGATTGAAGAAGTAATGGCGACGTTAGGAGCTGCCCCCTGCGATGGTGCTGGTCAGGAGAGGAGCGATGCATCAGCGAGTAATGGTTCGGAAGTCAGGAAGCAATTGGAGGAACAGGTGAGTTGCCTGATTGGGGCCGTAGAGCTACTGACGGCACAGCTGCACTCTTTGTTCATCGATGCCGAACGCTCTAGTGACCGCGATGGGCATGCAAAGTAGTTTTGAGCAGAGCAGTTCGTCGTCCCAAAATACTTCATCGTATAAGCTAGCGATGGGCGTAATGTGCACATACGCACGGTTGCCACTTCATCAAAATTTTGTGTACCACAATATCCAAGTAAAAAGGACCAAAATAAAATAAAATGTACCATTTTATGCGGTGCAACAAAAATTTACATATACATACAGATATATTTTTTATAATATTAAACGTTAACAAAAATTGCAATATTTTCAATTCGTGTAAAAAAATTTATTTCTTTTCCACATTTGTTGGCTTTTGTGCATGTACAGGCAGTGTCAAATGTTAGTGTACACCTTGGTCTAATATAATACTCACAATTATTTTCATGAAACATTTTCATTAATTATTTATGAAAATAAAGTTCATTCTATAATATATACCAAATACTATTCTATAATATACGAGTATATCAAAGTTTCACACTTTATATGAAATTTATAAAAATTAAAAAATCTAAAAAAAAACACCGTTGATTTTTTAGATTTTTTTTTTTTGTGGAGGGTGTTGCGCGTTTTCTACCATATAAAAATAGATTTTGAAGACGCGCAACACCCTCCACAAAGAAATTCTAAAAAATCAACGGTAATTTTTAGCGACTTGAAACTTGCACATTGTTTTCCAATTTTTTCTTTCGCTTTATTTCCCAAGAAATCTGCCGTTTGCACTGACTTTTTCCGTCCACATTTTTAAAGTTTAACAATCTGCGAATCCGGGCAGCATTACTCGCTTAGGATCCGCTTTTTGACACAAAGCATCATTGCTAAAAATTTGTTTAAGTGGTTTATAAAATCAACTTCAAAATATAAGTTACATACATTTCGTCGATTTCATCGTCTGTGGAAGATCTCCCTCTATCGTCATCATTTGCCGGATATTTAATTTTTCTTATAACAAATCGAAATAAAAACCATTAATTATTATTGCGAAACAATTTTTGATAATTTAAAATATTAATTGTCCATGGTAAGCTGTCCACATGAGCACCGAGCCTGAAATATGCCCTAAATTGCCACTTCTGATGTGGTGTTGTCATTTCGGCATTACGCGCAATAATGTAATTGACTTTAGTTCTTTCACAAACCGTTTACCACAATTCAATTGTATTTTATTCTAATGGCCCGAACACAATGAAAACGACGAGCTACGGACCACAGCTATCAAATTATTTTTACACGTATTCTTATGTAGATAATTATTTTGGCGACTGTGGATTTGGCTAGATTAGATCAATTTTTTCAGCGACAGATAAGGTTCTTCCTCTTTTATGTCAGACTCATACAAATTCATGATGTCGCTGCTGCGGTCAAAAAAATCATGTCGCCATCACGGTTGCCACATTTGGTCACTTGTGACCAAAATAGGTAACTTTTTGAATGCTTGGTAACTTGACAACTTTTTTTTTATTTTGGTAACTTTTGGTAAGTTTGCCGTGTATAAAGTCAGACTAAAAAAGTTGGATTAAATTTGATAAATTGCATTGTTCAGGCAACACAGCTCTCAGCAAAAATAATGTGAGGTACACATTGGCGATCAAAACCGACAGTTTTGCTCAAATTTCCCCTGTTTGACCGTGTGACCGCTCGTTTTCATCAGTCAACCGCAAAAATGTTTGTGGTTGACTGTCAGTCAACGCCCATTTAAGTTTTGACTGATAACGTGTTCCCAAAATTGTTAGTCAAGCGAAATATTCGCAGCGTACATACATGTGTTAAATATCGGTATGTACTTACAGCACTATAAATAAGAAGAGATTTTCGAATATTATCAGTGCAACGTTATAAATGGACGCGAATAACGATTTTTTGAAAGAGTTTTTAGATTGCCATAAGATGCAACGTTGTCTCCGGGACATAACTAGCCCAGAGTATGTGATCCGTGACAGAAAAATAAAATCTTATGAAGAATTGTTAAATATGACGGAAAAATACAAAAAGCCATGCAGTGTTGAAGATGTAAGAAAATAAATACTATTCTTTCGTCCTATAGAAGAGAGCTTAAAAGAATTAAGCAATCAGAGTTTTCTATAGCCGGTATTGGTAATGTATATCCAGAGAACGTTTATAAATGAGAAGGCGCATTTCCAGTGACCGTTTTTGTTCCGCAGAAATTTTGGGGTGCGGTCGACCAAATATACCACTCGTCGACGAAATGCACCACTCGTCGACGGAATGTCGGCTACCACCACGGCAAAGATTTTCAATTCCTCTACACTTCGACGACATTTACCATAGTGAAAAGCAAAATGCAAATTAAAAACGAAAATGAAAAGAGAAACAAAAAACTGATCAGCACTTGGCAGAGGGGATGCTTGCGGAGGCAGAGGCGTGCTGGTGTCAGATCAAAACAAAAACTAAAATAAAAATGGAAGTCGGACAAGTGTACTGAAGAAGCGGGAAACGGGGAAAGGAGCGGGCTTTTGTACATTTGCTTGCTTGCCGAAAATATGATATTTGCGTGAAATCGATTTGCTGATTGCAAATTGATTTTTGCAAACATGTATGCATATTTCTATTTCAGCTAATATTTTGGCTTTAAATTTTTTATATTTTTTTATATTTCAGCTAAGTTGATAAGATTTTCTTTAAGCAATATTTTGACTTTTTTCCACAATCGTCTAAAGTCATGTAAAATGGAAATTATACATGCGTATGTACCTACATATCCATTTATATTATTTTAAACAAAGCCAATAGTAAAATTTAAAATGGAATATGGATATGACAATAAAAAAAAACAAAAATAAAATATTACTTGGTCCGTCTGGGATTTGAACCAAGGCAAACGGCGAGACGCCAAAAAGTTGTATCGCCTCTAGCATACCCGCCACAGTATATTATTGAAATGTTAGCCTCTAAATCACTACATATATGAAATTCTTCATTCATCCAAAAAGACAAAAGCATAAATATGTATGCATTAATAAATGTAAATATGTGTATACATATGTACGATTGATCTGCTTTGCAATCAGCAAATCGATTTCACGCAAATATCATATTTTCGGCAAGCAAGCAAATGTACAAAAGCCCGCTCCTTTCCCCGTTTCCCGCTTCTTCAGTACACTTGTCCGACTTCCATTTTTATTTTAGTTTTTGTTTTGATCTGACACCAGCACGCCTCTGCCTCCGCAAGCATCCCCTCTGCCAAGTGCTGATC